CGTGTGAGCTACCCAGGCCAGAGTGGTACACACACACACACACACACACACACGTGTGACCTACCCGGGCTCAAGTGGTACACACACACATACACACACATACGTGTGAACTACTGGGCCCGAGTAGTACACGCACACACGTGTGAGCTACCCAGGCCAGAGTGGTACACACACACACACACACACACACACACGTGACCTACCCGGGCTCAAGTGGTACACACACACATACACACACACGTGTGAACTACTGGGCCCGAGTAGTACACGCACACACGTGTGAGCTACCCGGGCCAGAGTGGTACACACACACACACACACACACACACACACACGTGACCTACCCGGGCTCAAGTGGTACACACACACATACACACACACGTGTGAACTACTGGGCCCGAGTAGTACACGCACACACGTGTGAGCTACCCAGGCCAGAGTGGTACACACACACACACACACACACACACACACATGTGACCTACCCGGGCTCAAGTGGTACACACACACATACACACACACACACGTGTGAACTACTGGGCCCGAGTAGTACACGCACACACATGTGAGCTGCCCAGGCCAGAGTGATGCACACACATGCCCAGAGAGAGCACCTGAGGACAGGCTCCCCTAATGGGGCCGACCACCCCCCTGGCTGGCTGGCTGCTGAGGAGTTGATCCAATGGGGCAGAGGCGCAGAGGCGCAGATTCAGCCGGCATTACGGGACCCCTCAAAGTCCCCCTTGGCCACAGTTTCCACAGCCCTGCTGCCCAGCGGAGAGGCGGACGGTGTGCATCCACGTGTCTGCCACGGGCCTGTGCCATGCAAGGTTGTGCACTCCCTGGGTCACTGAGGCCCCCGGGGGTCAGACTGGGGGCTGCCCAGCTCGAGGCCTTCACACTGCATCAGGGGCTGCCGCCTGTCCAGGTGCCGGACACACACAGGCAGAGGCTGGGCAGGGTGACCCAGAGGGTGTTCTACCCGAGGGTCCTCACGGGGGACCCTCCCTGCCTCCTGCCAACTCATCCACTTCCCTGTTCCCCGACCAGGAGCCCCAACAGCTGGACCTGGAGAGGCTCAGAAACAGCCCGGGGGGAGGTCCAGCACCTGAGGCTCCCTGAGGGGTCAGGGGCAGCAACCTTAGGGAGAGGCAGGACACTGTCCACAGCCACTCCTGTGACCTTGCCACAGCTGCCCCTGGACACTGACCACATCCCCACAAAGGCACTGGCCACAGCTGCCCCTGGACACTGCCCATGGCCACTCCTGCCCACTGACCACAGCTGCTCCTGGGCACTGACCATGGCCACTCCTGAGCACTGACCACAGCTACTACTGGACACTGACCATGGCCACACACGGGCACTGACCACAGCTGCTACTGGACACTGATCATGGACACACACAGGCACTGACCACAGCTGCCCCTGGACACTGGCCATGTTGACTTTGGACACTGACCACAGCTGCTCCGGGAACTGGCCATGCTGCCCTTGGACACCGCCCACAGCCATCCCTTCTCCGTGTACAATCTCCTCCTGTGTGCCCCGTCCCCGCGCCGGCCTCCCTGCGGGCGACAGTCTCGCTCTGTCCCGGGAAGAAAGCACCAGTGTTGACCATGTGGGAACTGCCACGCGTCTGCCCAGCAGACAGGGTAGTACTTCCTCGGCGTGCCCGGCTGGGCCCTTGTGGGATAGTCCCCGGGCCATGGCCGCTCAGCAGGGCTGACCTCAGAGGACACTCGTAGGGTTCGTGGCCCTTCAGAGGGACCCCGCAGCTCCCGGACACTGGCCGAGGAAGGAGACATCCTGAGCTACAGGCGGTGGGTCAGAGGGACGCTGACGACACAGCCTGTCCCCAGGGCCTGGAACCCAGCACCGCTGGGGCAGCCCCAGAACCAGGCAGGAGAACAGAAAATCAATTCTGAGTGGAATCAAGCTAAGAGGAATATCCGGGTCCGTTGGCTACTCGGGAAGGGAAGGGGAAGGGGAAGGGGAAGGGGAAGGGGAAGGGGAAGGGAAGGGAAGGGGAAGGGGAAGGGGAAGGGAAGGGAAGGGAAGACGTGCTCAGCACTCAGCTGAACTGAACTCAAATCCCCCGCCCTGCCCCTGTGTCCTTGCACCTCTCAGGTCCCCCTGGGAGACCCAGCTGGGAGCTATCCGTGGCCTCACCAGGCATCCAGCTCACTTTCTGCCTCTCTGGAAGCTTCCGGGGGGTCTGCAGAGGCCAAGGCACTTAGCCAGCAGGGAGGGTGCAGAGGAGGGCTGCCGGGGTGGGGGATGGAAGGCCCTGCAGCACGGGAGGAGAGGGCCCATGCGAGCAGCCGCCCGCACCCCTGCACGTGGAAGGCTGGAGCGTGGCAGGGACGCAGGGGCTGGAGCACTACCTGTGGCCAGCGGAGCCCCTACCCGCCCTGGCTCCACCCTGGTCTGGCTCAGGGGCAGGGCCCATGCCCATGTCTCCTGCATGCCCTTGACCATGCAGCCTGCAACCGAACCCTGGCTGCCCGTGTGTGTCGCGGCTACAGGAGGGGTTGGGGCCTGAGCGGACAGTTCAGTGTCCACGGCCTGTCACTTGGTGACGGGAGCCCTTTCACAACATGTGAGCATGGGGTGGCATGCCCTTGGCGTGACCTTGGGCCCCTGGAGGCGGCATGGGGCAAGGTTTGTCTGCCGGGAGGAGGCCAACCCCTTCCCACCTTCACTCCCACACGGGGGTCCCTACGCTGACTCCCACTGGGTGTGGGGTCCGCGGCTCCCGACCTCCGGTTTCCCTGGGCTCCAGGTGGCTGCAGGGAAGGACTCAGCCCTGTGCACCCCAGGAGCTGCCCAATTGCCCTGGGTGGCATCTGCCAAGCCGGGCACAGCCTCACCCGCCCGTGACTCTCTTCCTGCCAGACCCGGGCGGCATCCAATGACAGGAACAGCACATGGACACACGTGTGCACCCACAGATATGTGTGCAGGCTGAGGCATGAACAGGTGCGTGTGTGAACACGTACATACACACATGAATATATGTTCAGTCCTCTAAGCACACACATGCCCGTGCATGACCAGCACACATGTGGGCACTCTCGGGGACATGCACGCGCGTGGCCACTCTAAATGGACTCATCCTTCAGGTGCCAAGGCCGGCTCGCAGAGCGCAGCACACAGTGGCAAGGACAGGGTGGGCAGCCCTCGAGCTGCAGGGCAGGGCCACACCTGGGAGTGCAGGCCAGTGCCCACGGGGCACCTCAGGTTGCTGGCCAAGAGGGCCCAGCCGGTGGGGAGCAAGGAACGGGCACTGCGGCTGCCGGCTGCCGCCGCTGCTGCCCCAGCAGTAGCCCAGCCATGGCAGGAGATTAATCTCCCTTCCTCCCCACAGCTGCTGTTTCCATATTAATTAAAGTGTTTTGCTCACACCAGGAGTGCGGGCGGACGGCTGAAGGGGACTCGGGCCTAAGATGCAGGAAGATCTGGGGCTTCGGGTGCTGAGCTGAGGCTCCTGGCCCCTGGCTCCAGCCACCATCCAGAGGGCAGGCCGTGGACTCTCTGAGTGGTGCTCACTACTGGGCAAGAGCGGAGATTTTGCAGGGGGGGTGTGGGGGGAGCTGGCAGGTGGGGGGCTGGGAGACAGGCAAGAAGAAGCTGGGGGCCGCAGGGTCCAGGCGGGGAGGGGGCGTCCATCTGGGCAGACCTGGCCCCCGTGCTCGGGGGTTGGGGGTCACTCCACACTGACCTCGGACCCTCACCGGCTGGCCCTCCTGGGCTCGAAGCAGTGCTCCCTATGAGACAGGGGACTCTGCACCCCCACACCAGCTGCCACCCGCCCCAGACCCCAGCCCACCCAGGACGGCGCAGCCTGGCTGGTGCAGCAGGCACCCCCCGCACCAGGGGCTACAGAGTCCCAGTTCCCCCGCCACCGTGCCTCAGTGACAGCTGCCCCAAGCATTCGGCACCCACAGCACCCACACGTCACTCAACAGAGTACCCATACTCAGTACAGGACTCAGCATAGCTCAGCACCTGAGAGCACCCAGCACAGTACCCATACAGCTCCCACAAGGACTCAGCACAGCACCCAACATAGCTCAGCACTCAGGCCCACCCCCAGAGCACCTAGCACACCAACACAGAACCCTGCGTAACTACACAGCTCCCACACAGCCCCAATGCAACCAAGCACAGCACAGCTCAGCACCCAGCTCAGCACCCAGCTCAGTACAGCTCAGCACCCAGCTCAGCTCGGCACTCAGCACAGCACCCAGCACAGAACCCAGCTCAGTACAGATCTGCACCCAGCTCAGTTCAGCACTCAGCATAGCACCCAACTCAAAACCCAGATCAGCACCCAGCTCAGCACCCAGCTTAGCAGAGCCCAGCTCACATCCAGCGCAGAACCCAGCTCAGCACTCAGCACAGCACCCAGCTCAGCAGATCTCAGTACCCAGCACAGCACCCAGCACAGCTCAACACTCAGCATAGCGTCTAGCTCAGCACAGCACCCAGAACATCACTCAGCTCAGCATTCAGCTCAGCACCCAAATCAGCACTCAGCACAGTTCAGCACCCAACACAGCACCCAGCTCAGCACAGCACCCGGCACATCACTCGTCCAGCACCCAGCACAGCTCAGCATTCAGCATAGCACCCAGCTCAGCACAGGTCAGCACCCAGCTCAGCACCCAGCACAGCACTCAGCACTCGGCTCAGCACAGCTCAGCACCCAGCTCAGCACCCAGCAAACACCAACGCTTTCTGCTGTGCAGAATCTTCTTCCTCATTTCACGCTTTCACCTGAAACATGTCGGGATTCAGGGATGACTTCGGCTGCCAGCGCCAATGTGGCTGTGGGCAGGAGCCCCCGTAGCCAAACCCTGGCTTCGTACAAGCGGCAGTAACAGCTTCTTGGGGCGGGGGGTGGGGGGGTCGCTCCCAGCAGCATCCACGGGCCCCAGTGAGTGCCCGGGAGACCCCCCTCCCCGGGCAGGGCACACGGGAAGGAGGCCAGGCCATCTCATAAATAACCTCTTTATTTATTGCATATGGCTATTCCGGGCGCCCGGCAGCGGGCCACAGACACGGCACTCGGCGTGCGCGGCTGACGCACAGGGCCGGGGCACGGCACAGGCTCCTGCCCGGAGTCCATGTGGTGGGGAGAAACCAAACGTGCACCAAGGAAACACTGTCGCATGACGGCTGACCGTCGGTAGCAAAAAATAGTTTAGATTTTGGTGGGGGAGAGGGAGGGAGGTCAGGCAAACTGTACAAAGACTTAATAATATACAGTGTCAAGGTTTAGCAAACATAACATTTATACATTTTGGTTCCATTCTGTAAACTAAATTAAAAAGGTAAATATTGCATATGCCTTTTTTTTTCTTCTTTTGAAATGTACAGGGTAGAGGAAGTCACTTCCGTATCAGTCTCTTGCTCTTGCTCCGAGGGGCGGAAAGGCCCCACCACGGCCCGGGCCACCCGGTCAGGATCCCACACTCCCGAGTTGGGGCGGGGCCATTCCACGCCACGCGGGGGGGCGCAGCGTCCCCGGGCCAGTGGACCGGCCGCACCCGTCCCCGCACAGATCCGCTGGGCTCCCGGGAATGCCCCACGTGCCCCCTGCTCTACATTCAACTCTGTCTTGCTCTACAAGCGTCATCTGCACAGCGCATCCTGGCAAGAAGACGCTCGCATGGCCACGAAACAGTTTTAAGACATCAAACTTTTTGGTCTTCCTCTAAAAAAAACAAAAAAGCCTCATTTGTATTAATGCATTATTCTATATGTTATAGATCTATATATTTATATATTCTCCCCACCCCCCCAACCCAACCACCCATCACATCTCCAGTGGATTCCTGGTGCCGGCCCCACCGCCCGGGGGTCGGTCCTCGGCCAGGCCCAGAGGAAGTACAGTTCCTGGCCGCTGTCAGCGGGCCCCTGGACATGGATCGTGACCATGCAAGACGGAGATTCCATCTGGCCACTGCTGACACAGGCCGCCGCATCCATGCTCGGCCCATTCCTGGCAGGCCAGCGGGCGTCCATCTGGGAGTGCCCACACCTGACCCTCCTGGGCCTGCTGGGCCAGGGGCCACTGCCCTGCTGGACCCGCTGCTGTGAAGTTTTGGTTCCAGAGACGCAAGCCGATGGGGAAGGCAGGCACGGCGTCTGAGCCCGCCACGAGGATGAGTCTTCTGTGATGTGAAGTACCTACACGAAGGTCATGGAGAGTCGGCCTGTCGGCTGAAGGTCACGCAGAAGCACACTCCCGACTGCCCGCCCTGTCCCCACGGCCTGGACAGACGACGGTTTCCAAGTCTCGAAGGATTCGGTCACGGGAGCTCAGAGGCCAAGCTGATACCCAAGTGCTCAGCCAGGCGCCAGGCTGGGCCGGGCTCACAGCCCGCGGTCCATGGCTCTGGACCACCCCGGAGCTCCCCTGCCAACTGAGGTAGGATTGTGGCAATCTTCGAAGGACACCCCCGGGGCTGGCCCACCTCGTCGCCCAAGAGGGCCCAGCTGGGCTTTGCCAACAGGAAGTCGGGGGCCAGGGGAGCCCCCTCTGAGAACACGCAGCTCTGCCCAGGAGCAGGGCGGCCAGGCTCGCGTGCTGCAGAAACAAAAGCCAAGAGTCCGCAGGGGTGCGTGTCCGAGGGCTGCGGAGGGGCTGAGGCACGAACCCCCGGGAGACGTGAGCAGCTTGGTGGGGGGTCCGCGCTGGGCTGCCGTTGGCTCTGGCCACCATCACTCTGGAAGAGAAGCGGGAACGGTCAGTGTGGGTGGAAAAGCCACAACTCTCCCGGGCGCCCACTCAGCCCTTCCTCCCGGGCACCCTGGGGCATCCCCAGAGGCAGAGCGTGGGCAGGGACTGGGGGGACCAGCCCACGGGGGGGGGCTGCTGGAGTCCAGCCCCACCCCAAATTCTTGGGCTCTAGGACCCCCATGGGCCCCAGGGCCCCCTTCTAGGCTGTAGCGCCCAAGTTCCTGGACCGTGTCCCTAACAGCTGGAGCACATCTGCACCCAGCACAACCCAGGGCACACCCCAAGCTCCCTTAAGGGTCTGCGTGTCCCTCGCCCCCAGCAGGCTGTTGGTCCCAGGCTGCCTTCCTGGAGGGTCTCACCGTGCCCCCACCAGAAGCTGACCAGGCGAGCTGTGACCCAGGGGCCACAAAACCCCTCTGTCTGGAAGACCAGCCACAGCTACTGCCCCTGGGAATGGGAGCGCAGTAGCGTCCCAGCTAAGACAGAGACCCCCCCCGTCTCATGCCCACCTGCCCCAGCACACGAGCCAGCGTGGTGCCCACACCTGGGGGCCCACGAAGCTGACCCCTGGGACAGAGTTTCCTCAAAGTCCAGCACGGTCGGGGCCAAAGCGGTCGTCCAGCAGAGAGGGCATTTGCCTTGCACAAGGCTGACCCAGATTCGATCCCTGAGACCCCAGGTGGTCCCCTGAACCCACGAGGAGTGATCCCTGTGTTCGAAGCCAGGAGCAAGCCCTGAGCCCCAAAATCAAAACAAACCAAATGCCACACCGTGACCCCGAGGCTGGTTTCTGGCCTGCAATCCACAGAGCGGGGCTGACCCAGCCACCTCCCAGACCCCAGACTCGGGCCCTGCCATGGAGATGCTCACGCAGACCCAGCCACGGGTGAGGCCAGCGTCTAGCCCCGTCCCCCACACAGCCTCCCCCCGGCAGAGGGGCTGCCAGCTTCGGCCACAGCATGGGACGGCGGGACAGCGTGGCAGAAGTGTCCCAGGTGGCACCCCACCTATAAGAGCTCCCCCTAGTCCTGGGGGCACACAGAGCCAGGTTCCGGGCCATTGGCCACCACGCCCCAGGGGTCAGTGCCGGCCCCCACAGGAGGAAAGGAGGCCGGGCTGGAACCTAGGGCTGAGCGTCCATCCAAACTCGCTTGCCCGACCTGCCCAGAAGCCAGCCCTGTTCATCCAGACCTGCTAAGACGCAGGGATGCCCCAGGGTCCCCCACCCCCAGCCAACACTAAGCGCATGTCCCTCCGGCAGAGGTAGGGGGACAAGCATTGGGAAAGTCAACTCGATAATGCGGCCCAAGAACCGGGTAGCCGGGCTCAGCTCCCAGGGGCAGTAGGTCTGGGGGGAAAGATGCTCAGTCTCACGTCACGGAGAGTCACGGGGAGCCACGGAGTCACGGGGGTCACGGGGAGTCACAGAATGTCATGGAGAGTCACGGAGAGTCATGGGAGTCACGGAGAGCCGCGGAGAGTCACAGGGACTCACGGAGAGTCATGGAGAGTCACGGGGAGTCATAGAATGTCATGGAGAGTAATGGAGTCATGGGAGTCATGGAGAGTCACGGAGAGTCACAGAGAGTCACAGGGAATCATGGGGAGTCATGGAGAGTCATGGAGAGTCACGGGGAGTCATAGAATGTCATGGAGAGTCATGGGAGTCACAAAGAGCCATAGAGAGTCCATGTGCAGCCCATGGAGAGTATAGGTAAAGGCCCTACATGCTTCATGGAGATCCTGCACTGTTCACGTGGAGCCCAGGTATAGTCATGCAGACGGTCCCATGTGGGTGTATGAAGTATTCCTGCACAACCGCATGTGGATCGTGAAGTTTCAGAGTTCATGTACAATCCAGGTAGTCTCACACACATACACAGTCCCATGGAGAAGTCACCTTTAATCCACAGATCCTCCATGGAATGGTCACGTGGAGTCACAGAGCCCATGTACTGTCCTTGGACAGTTCACACATAGCTCATGTAGAATCCATGCACAGTCCATGTACAATCAATGCAGAGTCCATGTACAGCCCCATGTAGTCATGTAGAGTCCATGTAGAATCCAAGCCTCACGCCCTGCCCATGTCGAGTCTGTGTACAATCCAAGCCTCACGCAGTGTCTGTGCAGAATCCTTGGGCGTTCATGCAGGATCCCACGCACATCCATGTACGGCTCCTGTGGATTCCGTGTCAGTGCTTATACAGTGTACATGGGATCCACGTACAGTCCGGGACATTCCGCATAGTAGAGCCCATGCCAAGTCACGCACTGTCCATGTAGAGCCCGGCCAGTTCATGTGGCCCCAAGGTGTCCAGTTTCCCAAGGGCTCCCCGAGCTCAGGCTGGTGCGAAGTAGAGCAGGGGTCGCTGTGAGCACGCGTGGATGGGGTCCCGTCCAGTGACTGCAGCCGCTCCCGCGAGGGGCACTACAGACACAAGAACCCCCACACACCTAGGACCACAGTCCCCACATCCAGTAGTGCCCACGACCCCCAAGTCAGGACCCTCCCCTCCAGGGAGCCCCACCCCAGCCACAGAGCAGCAGCAGGAAACAAACGCTCAGTGCTGAGACACTCCATAAGCAAACACGGTAGGGGCTGGAGCAATAGCACAGCGGGTAGGGCGTTTGCCTTGCATGCGGCCGACGCCGGTTTGATTCCTAGCATCCCATATGGTCCCCTGAGCACCGCCAGGAGTGATTCCTGAGTGCAGAGCCAGGAGTCAGCCCTGAGTATTGCCAGATGGGACCCCAAAAAGCAAAAAACCAAAAAAAAAAACCCATAAGCAAACACAGTAGCGCTACAGCTGCTTACTCAACCTAAAGCAATACTCAGAATATATTAAAAAAAAAAAAAGGCAAGGTGGGGCGTGATAACAGAGGGCGGGTTCCAGGAAAAACGGTCGCTGGCCCTTTCCTGCGAACTGAGGGGCAAGCACAGGGCTTGCCAGGGTGCCGCCGTGGCAGCCGGGGGACAGGTCAGGGGACGCGGGGGCTGAGTGCCCACTCTAGCAGCTGTCCGCGCCTGGGCCTGCCTACCTCCTGCCAGCCTCGGAGCGCCCTCCGCAGCCCACCGTGAAGGCTGAGACCACGAGCAGGGGACGTGCCCACTGGGGCCCCCACAACACAGCGGCCTGTCCACGGGAGACTCAGCATCTGTCCAGGCCCAGAGGGCCACAGGGAAGGGGCCCGGAGCTTACCCAGAACCTTCCCAGCGGCTCAGCAGGCCCTGGCGGGCCGCACCCCAGTCAACCGGGTGAGAGAGCCCGGGGGCTTGTTCCCCACATCTGCTCTGCTAAAGGGACGCTGGGGTCACTCAGGGCGCAGACAGGGAGAGCAGGCGGCAGGAGCAGAGTTGGTCAGCACATCAGCACTGGCAGGGCAGCCTGCCGGACCTGGACCTGGTCCCCCGGGAGCTGCAAGGCTGGGCAGTGGGCGCAGGGGACCCTGACCCCCAACACCACTCCTGCAGGCACACGGGCGGGGCTTCCTGAGACCCTCGGGCCTCTCTCTGAGCTTCTTCCCACCACCCCACGGGGCCCCCTCCCATCCGTCCTCCCTCTCCCTCTCTGTATTCCTCTCTCCTTCCCATCCTCCCCCTCTCCTCTGCCCCTCTCTCCCCCCCCCCTCCTCCTAGGGGGTCCCACCTGGAGGTGGTCTGGGGACATGGGGCTGGGAGCGACGGGCCTCCAGCACGCACAGCCTGTGCTGAGTCTCTGGCCCACCCTCCAGCCTGTCCTGAATTCTAAACAGATCCCAAGCTGCGAGGCGACAAGGGCTACAATTATCTCCTGACACCCGTCAGAACACGGCGTCTCCCCCAAAATCCACATCGCTCCGCTCCTCCAGGTTTGGAACTGGGAGTCTGCTTAGAATTTAGATGTTAAAAAAAAAAAAAAAAGACTATCTCAGCACTTCTAAATGCACAAAGAAAGTGGCCGCAAGACTCGGGTCAGGCTGAGCAGGGAGGCCGAGGAGGCAGATGCAGGTCTCACCGGGGCGTTTCCCGCCAACCGGCAGGAGCCCGCAACCCCCACACCTGAGTGCTGAGTGCACCAAGCAACTGAGCAATTGAACTAAACTGGACAAAGCTCCAGCAACTCCGCTTCCTCCGACGCTTCCTCCGACGACGTCAGCCACGTCACCCTGCAGCGCGGGAAACCTGATACGCCTCAGAATCAAGACGTCCAGCAAGCACAAAGCGGTCGCTCGTTCACCTGAGGCTCTGAGGCAGTCCGCCCGCGACAGTCTGCAGGTGGCAGTGAGCCCGCCTGCCCTTCCAGCACATTCTACGGCAGCCCACACTCAGTGACTCTCCTGGGCAGTGTCCCTCGCCCAGTGGGAAGAAGCGAGCGCCTCCAGGCTGGCCACTTGCTTGTGCGTCCGCAGGCACGGACCTTCCATATGCTGTAAGGGCCGGCCAGCACCACCTTTTGTCACCACAGCCCCCAGGGACCCGACCGTCCAGTGCCCAGTTCCTGCCCAGCTCGGGCCTGCAGAAACCCGGGCCTCAGCCCCTGCTTGAACCATCTGCCACTCACCTGTCCGCCCATGCTCTGTGTGCTGTGCCCCCGGCCAGCGTCCCACAGACACCGTCCCCAAGGGCCCCCGAGTCTCACCAACCAGCGCAGCCATCAGCAGCTGGAACACAGTGCACACCACGGCTTATCAGAACCAACCCAGAGAACACGGCGGTCGCCAGCCCCGCTGACCCCGGAACACGCAGCCAGCCTCCCCCGCAGCCAGGACGCGAAGCCCCTCTCCCGGTGCCAGATCTGATAGCGGCGGGAACCGGCTCCGGAACCGGGCTTCCAGAGGGGCGCCGGGCTGTCGGAACAGAAGGTCCATTATGCCGGGCCCGCCAGGGTGCCCCGCGCCAGCCATGCCGAGAACTAAACTTCCTCGCGTGGGGCTTTTTCTGTCGTGTCCACAAGGGGCTGAGGGGCTGGTCAGATAGGCCAGGTCCCCGGCTGCCCTGGGGGCTGCTGGACCCTCCTGCAGGGCTGCATCCCCCAGGCCGGGATGGCTGCCAGGTGTCGGGGTCTGAGTCAGTGCCCACCTGCCAGCGTCCCTTAGACCCAGAGGCAGGGCCGTCCTTCCTGCAGCGCTGTGCCCGGGGTCCTGCCCAGCTCCCTGCGCTGTGTGCCAGGCTGAGAGTGAGGGGCTCGGGGCTCGCCCACCATCCAGCCCTGAGTAACTGGGATCAGCAACTGGAAACCTGCCACTGGCCAGGGCCCACTGCCCCTCCGCCGTGTCCCTATCCCAGGGCTGCCCGCTGGGGGCTCGTCAGGAAAGAGAGCAGGCATGGCACCTACACTCAGAAAGCTGTGCAAGAGCCTGTGTGTAGTGAGTGTCCACATCTGTGCAGTGTGTGCACATGTTTGCAGTGTATATGTGCATGTGTGCAGTGTGCATATATATGCAGTGTGTGCACGTGTGCAGTGTGCACACGTATGCAGTGTGTATGTGCGTGCATCTGTGTAGTGTGTGCACACGTGTGCAGCAAGTCTATGGGTGTGTGTGTGCGCACATGTGTCTGCACATGTGTGCACATGTATGCGGTGCATGTGTACATGCACGCAGCATGCAGCTTATGCGTGTGCATGTATGTGTGTGTTACCAGGCCTGCACACTTCCGGAACACCCGGTCTGTGCCCAGGGAATGGGTCCAAGCAGGCCTCTTGTTATCTCACTGAGACAAGAGCTGTCATTGGCAGGAAAGCTCACAAGGCAGAAAGAAAAAAAAAAATGAAGCCTGTGGTTTGTCAAGCAACCAACCTCACTGCCGTGCTAAAAATATTCACCGTCTGCGCTCCCCAGCCCTGGGTGACAGTCCCCACAGAGGGCAGCCGGACTGTCCTCTGCAAACATGGACGCGGCCTCTGACCAGGGAGAGGAATAAAGGGCCTTTATCAAACAAAGTCGCGGCACACGCTCTAGGTGGCGGCTTATCTAATCGGCCCTGTCCACACAGAAAAGCCAATTTTAGAATAAAATTCCCACCAAGAGGCAGCGCCGAGATAGCCCACGCCAGCCGACCACACAATGAAGTTCCTGTCAAGACGCAGCTGTAGGCCGCTCGGGCCCAGCTTGGCAGGTGACCGCACACCTGGCCCTCCGGGTGGCCTCACAGACCCGCTGAGCAACAAGAACTGTCCACTCGGACTGTTCATCCCCACCCCCACCGCCCACCACTGCCCCACACGTCACAACCTCTGGCTTTGTCACCCACCGCCGATGCCAACAGCAAGCGGTACCCAGGCGGGCTCTGGCCCCGCACAGGAGCTGTGCAGGTGTGAGCACAGCCTGCCCCGACTCCTCCCCCTCGTCGGTTCCCGCCCATCACTCTTCCTGCAGTGCCAACCTCAGCCTGGGCAGGACGGAGCTGTAGCACACAAGTGCTCACTGGGGGGTCTGCAGGGCCCCTCTCTGCCTCCACCCCCCCACGACACAACACACACTCCCGGGAATGACACAGCACCACAGCCGGGCGAAGCAAAGCTGGGCTGGGCGCTGCCCTCTGCCTCCTGGAAAGGCCCTGGCTATCCAGCCCCCGAGGGGCCCCAAAGGCTGCTGGCCTCTGCCCATGCCCTCAGCACCAAGAACTGCTATTCTGTCGGGCTGACCCACTGCACAGGCCCTGGGACAGCGGGAGACCACTGTGGCTCTCCTCAGGCCCACTGGGCGGCCCCCTCCCACCCAGACACACACACACACACACACACACACACACATACACACACACACAACAGGGCAGGAAGGGCACACCTGGCGCTGGGGCTGGTTTCTGGGCCAGTAGGGCACAGCAAGAGCCCCTTTCGCGCTCCTACTGTGGTGTCCCCCAACGGGGCAAACACGGGCACCGTTTCCCATGGGCTCCGCCACGCCCCAGCTCCCCAGCTTTCCCTGCCGACTCGGGGCCGCTGAACCCGACCTGAGTGCCCCTTGCCGAGGGCCCACCTCGGGTAACATCCACGGATTCAATCAGCCGCGGCCGCATGGTGCCAGGCCTCCGAGAGGCTGTGCCATCTTTATTCTGTTTTTAATTAAAAGAGCACACCGCATGGACTGGCGGGCTGCACGCTCTTCCCTCCTAGGAGTGGCCTCGTGGGCACACAGGCTGGACCTCACCCCTCCCCGGAGGACCCAGGCCCTCAGGCCAGCTCCCAGAAGCCCCCTACCTGATAGCCCACAGTCCACAGGAGCAGAGAAGCAGAAACTCCCCGAAACTACACCCCCCCCCCCCACCCGGGGAAACTTGCCTGCCCGCCACATAGGCCCTTCTCAGGTGAGAGTCACCAAGGGCTGCAGAGGAGGATGCACACACCCGCCTCCCAGCATCCCCGTGGGCTGGGGCCGTCTCTGGCCACGCCCACCACAGAAGCCCCAGAACCCCTGGGTGAGGCTGAGCCCATCCAGGGGGCATCCAGGTGTGGCTGGTTTGGGGGTCCGCTGCCTGAGGAGCAAAGGAAGGTCCTGCCTGGTTCCCGCAGCCCACCCAGGGCCCTCAGGCTCCCCCTTATTCCTCTGACCCCACAGCTGGGAGCTGTGTAAACACAGCGGGGAGGAGCACAGTGCCCCCCACCTGGCGCTGAGTGTTGGGGGGGCTGAACTGGGCAGCAGTGTGGTCTGGGGGGAGAGGAGGGTTGTAAGAAGGGCGCCGTGGAGCCCGAGAGAGACCCCCCAGCCCAACCGTGCTCCCCAGCCTCACCTTTCACCACCGCCGCCTCCTTCAGGTGATGCGACAGGAAGTCGATGCTGGCGTAGGTGTTGGGGGCGGGCAGGGCGCCCGGCCCGGGGCCCCCCACGGCGCCGATGAGCCCCCCGAGGCTGCGGGTCCGGCCCCAGGCGCCCTTCTCCGGGGGCAGCTGGTCGCGCACGTCGATGGCGATGTAGTTGAGCCCGTTCTGGAAGCCGGCCGAGGTCTCACGCCGCATGGGCGCGCCGTTGCCGCCGGGGCAGCCCACCAGGGACCCCGCGGGACCCGCCGTCCAGGGCCGCGTGGCCAGCGGCGGCTGCAGGTGGCGCGGGGACGCGGGGGGCTCGTGGCCCGCGCCGGGGCCGCCCTCGCCGCTCTTCCGGAGCGACACGTTCTCCACCGAGGCCGAGTTGTGGCGCTTGGGCGCGTGCGCGAAGGATGGGGACACGGGCGTGACGGTGGTGGTGGACGAGAAGGTCTCGGAGCTGTGGCGCCGCCGGCCGCCCTGAGGGTCGGCGCGGATGACCTTGGCGCCGCGGTGCGGGTCGGCGGGCTGGCTGCCCTGCAGGAAGGCCTCCAGGCCGGACACCTGCTCCATGAGGCTGCGCCGCTTCACGCCCGACGTGGGGCTGCCCGCGCGCGCGCCCTCGGGCTTGGGAGGAGCCGCGATGGGCTGCGGCGGCGTGGCGGCCACGCCGAAGGCCATCTCGGTGTAGTCGCAGTGGTCCCCGGGCTGGGCCTCGGCCGGCGCGGGCAAACGGTACAGCTCCCCGGGTGAGGGCGGCGGCGGGGGCCGCGCGCTGCAGGGCCGCCGAGGGCGCGGCCGGGCGCGGGGGCAGCGGCGGGCACGGGGACGAGGCGTCCGGGGAGCCCGCGGGGCCGGGCCGGGGCGACCTGGGCGAGCTGAAGTCCAGGTTCATGTAGTCGGACAGCGGCGAGCGCTGGCGGCTGTCGCTGCTGGTGCCAGGCGTGCCCGAGCCGAGTGACGACGCAGGGCTGCTGGCCGAGAGCAGCGAGCAGGACGAGGCGGCCGAGGCCAGGAGCGACGGCGCAGGCGGCGAGGGGCGCGCGCCCGCCTCCCCGAAATCAATGTTGATGTACTCGCCGGGGCTCTGGGGCTCGGGGGGCAGCGGGGTCTCGTGCATGCACGGCAGGGTCTGGAGGCCGTCCAGGGACAGGCGAGTGGGGCGCACGGCGCGGCCACGCGGGGTGGCGAGGCCCTCGGGGCGCACGCTGGTCAAGGGGCGCGCGGGGGATGGGGCAGCAGCGTGCGGGGGCGCGCCCGCGGGACCGGCTGGGGGCTCGGGCCGCTCCTCCTCCAGGATGCGGCCCACGGGCGAGCTCATGAGCACGTAGTGGTCCTGGTCGGCGGCGCAGGGGTGCGCGGCCTTATAGGCACGCGGCAGGGAGCTGTAGCAGGTGTCCCCGCCACCGTGGCCGTGGCCGTGGCCGTGGCCGTACCCGGCGGCCGAGAAGAAGTCGGGCGGGGTCCCCGCGGGGCCCGCGTCGCTGGGGGACATGTTGAGGTAGTCGCCGCTGGACAGCAGCTTGGAGTCGGGGGGCTCCATGGACATCCGGGAGCCGCACCACATGCGCACGTAGCCGCTGTCCTCGGGGGAGCTGGCCGGCGGGAAGGCCCTGCCCAGGGCGGCCAGCGTGGGGACGGGCGCGGGCCCCGGCGCGGCGGCCCCGCGGGGCTGCACGATCTGCTGCGGGGCCGACACGCTGGTGGGGCTCATGGGCATGTACTCGTCGGCCCGGCCCGCCGCGGGCGCCCGCAGCGCCGCGCCAGGCGTCATGGGCACGTAGCCGTCGTCGGGGCCCAGGTGGCCGCTGGAGCCGCGGCGCGAGGCGATCTCGATGTCGCCGTAGTCCTCGGGGTAGGGGCGGTAGGCCACCTGGGGCGAGGACGCGGGGCAGGAGGGGCAGAGGCGGCCGGCGCTGCCCGCGAAGGTGGCCCGCATCAGCGTGTACTCGTCCAGGGAGGCGGAGGAGGGCTGCGGCGCGGGACGCTGGCGCGCGGGGGTGGTCAGCGAGTAGGTCCTCTTGCGCAGGCCGCGCTCGGGGTCCGGGGAGTCGCCGGACACGCGGCGGTAGGCGCGGCCGCAGTGGCTCAGCGGCCGGTCCATGGTCATGTAGCCGTACAGGTCCCCGGCGGGGCCGTCGCGCGCGGGCGGGGTCTCGGCCACGGACTCGGGCGTGTCGCTGCGGTGGCTGCCGCAGGCCCGCAGGTCGCCGGGGCTGGAGCCGGACTCGTCCAGGGACATGAAGCCAGGGTCGCTGGGGGACCCCGAGGCGGAGGCGCTGCCGCTGGAGGGGCGCGGCGCGGCGGGGTGCGCGGGGTGCGGCAGCGGCGGGGGCGCGCCGGGCGCGGGCGGGTAGGAGCCCGAGCCGTGGCCGCTGCTGGACGACAGGCTGCCGGGGCTGGTGGCGGCCGGGGGCGAGTGCGCGGCCACGGGCATGGACATGGAGCGGCTGTGCTGCAGCGCGCCCCCTGCGGGCAGCAGCGGCCCCTTGCCCGCGCGGCCGCCGCTCAGCGTGTGCGAGCGGCTCAGGGGCGCGCGCGCCGGCCCGGGGCTCAGGGGGCTGCCCGCCGCGGACCCCGGCCGCCCCGCCGCCGCGCCCGCCGCGCCCGCCGCGCCGCCGTCGCCCTCGCTGGCCGTGCGCACCCGGCAGGCGCCGCACGGGGCGGCGGGCGGCGTGGCGGCCAGGCTGTCGGTGCGCGAGCGGCGCACCAGGCCCGTCTGGCTGGGCGGCAGGTTGACCAGGTGGTGGTGGCGGCGCGCGCCGGGGACGCTGATGGGGTGCGTGGCCGACGAGCCCGACGACTGGCTCTTGCTGCGCGGCCGGAACTCGAAGAGCTCCTTGAGCGCCTTCATGGCCTCCAGGATGGTCTCGTGGATGTTCTGCGCCACCACCGAGTCGTCGGCCTGCATCCACAGCTCGCCGGGGCCCGTGACGGCCGAGCGGCCCACCTCCACGAAGAAGAAGCTGTCCGAGTGGCCGCAGCGCCGGATGTTCATGAGCTGCAGCGTCACGGCCGGCTGCTCGCAGTTGAGCTTCACGAAGCCGATGGTGCGCGCCGACAGGCACAGGCGGTACACGCCCGTCAGGTTCTTGCTCTGGCCCAGGCCCTTGGGCTTCAGGGTCACCTGCCACACCTCGCGGTAGGCGGCCGCGCCGGGCGCCCCGGGCCCGTAGCTGTCATCGGCCGAGCCGCCCAGCGCGCCGGGCAGCGAGGCGCTGCAGGACGCGGCCAGGGCGGCGGGGGGCGCGGCGGCCGCGCGGCCCTCGCTCAGCAGCTCGGTGAGCGCGCGGTACCAGCCCTCCTGCTCCTGCTCGTTCTCGGCCGCCACGGCGAAGTACTCGTCCTTGGTGTAGAGCGCGATGAGGTACTTGTGCTTGGCGTCGGCGCGCTTGTTGACGTTGAGGCAGCAGTCCAGCGCGATGACCCGCTTCGGCGCGCCCGCCTTGCTCCGCCACTTCTTCTCGCTCTCGTAGTACTCGAGCCGCGGCGGCCCCGCGCCCGCCTCGTCGCCGCCCGCGCCGGGCCCGCGCAGCACGAAGAAGCGCTTGTGGCCGTGCCGCTGCTTGCGCAGGTAGCCGCACTTGCGCACGCTGTGGTTGTTGTTGTTGTTGTTGTTGTTGAGGTTGGGGCCGTCGCCGCCCGCCGGCCCCGGGGCGCCGTGCCGCGGCGGGCTCGCCATGGCCCGGGGCGAGCGCCGGGGGCGGCTCCCGGGGCCCGCGTCCCCCCCGCGCGCGCGCTCGCGCGCCCCGGGCCCGGGCGGCGTTGGGGGCGGCGGCGGCGGCGGCGGCGGCGGCCGAGGCGCGCGGGGCCGGGGGCGCCCCTGGCCCGGCGGCCTCCGGGGCGCGGCGGGCGGCGCCGCGATCGGGGTCCCGGGCGCGGGGCCGGGCCTAGGGCGCGCCGCGCCGCGCGGAGTCGGGCTGCGCCCGGGCTGTCGGGGTCGGCGCCGGCCCGGGCTGGCCGCGGTGCCCGCCGCGCGGTGAGTAACACATCGCGCACCGAGTGACTGAACTAGGAGCAAAACAACATGTGACTCGGCGTTACGCAGCCCCCGCGCCGCCGCCCCGCCCCGCGCGCCCGCATTGGCGCCGCCGCCCCCGACCGACGGCGCGCGCGGCCAATGGGCGGCCGGCGCGGGGGGGCGGGCCGCGCCCCGCCCCGCCCCCCTTTCTCCGCGGCCCGCGTTTCCCGCCGCGCCCGCCCCCCGCCGCCGCGCCGGGGCCGCGCGCCCGCCCCCGTTAGCCAGAGGCGCGCCGGGGGCGCCGCTGCCGGGAGGCCGCCCGGGGCGGGGCGGGGACGGCCCGGTTCAGCGCCCGGGGGCTGCGCCCCCCCCCCCCGCCCGCGCCCCGCCCGCGCCCCCCGGCACGCGCGCGCGGCTCCGGGCTCGGGGTGGCGCGCGCGCCCGGCGCGGCGGGGGTGCGCCTGGGTGGTGCCCGGGTGCCCGGGCCGCCGGCTTGTTTACGAGCATCGCGGTGGTCACCGGGCAGCGCGGGTCCGGCCGCGGCGCAGCGGCGCGGGCACGGCACGGGCGCGGGCGGGTCGGCGGGCGCGGCGGTCCCCCAGCCCGGCCCCCCGTTCCGCGGGCGGGTTCGGGGGAAGTTGAGAGCGTCTGCTCGGGAGGTAACCGGAGAAAGCCGGGAGGACGAGCCCGCGGCCGAAAGGCAGTTTCCATGGTGCCGGGAGAGGGCGGGGGCTCGGCCGGGCCCCGCGCGTCGGCTCCCCTGGGCGCTGCCCCGCCGGGCTGCGGGCGCCCCCGGGGAGAGCCTGCAAGGTGCCGCCTCTCCGGGCTGCGGCAATTTCCGAGCCTGAGCGGAACAACGACCGGGAGCGGAAGACCGCGACCCCCAAAGCACCACACGCCCAGACACACACACACACACACGCAAGAGACACCCGCGCGCGCGCGCACGCACACACACACACACACACACACGCACGTCCTGGGAAGAAAACACTGCACTACACAACAAACCCTTCTCTGTTTCTTTTTAAAATTGTTTTCATGAAATGAACTGGAACCATTAATGTTTTTTTTTTTCTATTGAGTCCTGGAAATTTGTCTTTGAATGTCCTCTGTAGTTGGCAAGAGTCTTCATTTTAAATTTGATGAAATATTCAATCGAACAAAAATAACTGCACTGTGATGTTTGAAAGGGCTGGATGGAGAGCGGCTGTTATAGGCAGCAAGACGCTGTTGACACAACTTAGCTTTTTTTTATTATTTACCGTATATGCAGTTATTGGTGAGCGTAAATTTAGGACAGTAATGCAGTAAAATTCATAATATGATTTGGCTCAGACGTTTATTTAAGGTCAGTCCCCTGTTTTCTTTGTTTTGATGTGCTGGGGATCATACTCGGGCCTCCCAATTAGCCAGGCACATGCCCTGCCACCCAGCCTCCTCTGCTGCCCTCTTCCACATCAAGGCTTGCTTTAAAATTAGTCTCTCTTAGAGTTCCGCCAATGAGTCTGTCTGTGTATGTGTGTGTGTGTCTGGTGTACATGCGTGTGTGTGCTGTGTATGTGTGATTGTGTGCGTGTGCATGTTGGGGGTGGGGAGAGCCTCCTAGGAGGGCTGTGACTGCGGTACCCTTTAGGTACTATTACCCTTACATGTTCCCTGGGAATGTGCCTACTGGAGGACTCTCAGGCTCCTGGAGCTGGAAGAAGGGGCCCCAGTGTTCCCTGCTATGGTCCTGCGTCTGCAGGGCTGGGGACTGAGCAGCTGTATGCCCGGTCAACCCCCCCCCCCCACACACACACACCCCTTCCCCTTGGTCCCAGCACTGTCTCCGCTTCGCGGGCTGATGGTTTCTTCTGAGAACATGGCTCAGCCGTTGTTTCCATGCTTAGAGGCTGACTTTTCCTGCAAACTTTGTTGCCCTCGTGTTTGCGTGGTATTGGCATGCTGGTGTCCTTCTCTGGACTGTCCGGTTGCCCACGAAGGCTAGACTGGATGGCCCACCTCATCATGCAGATCTCAGCCTTCTACAGCAAGGCTGTACACACATGTGGGCTGCCAGCCCTGCAGTCATTAAGTCCTGAGTACCCTAGTCTTCCTCTCTGGGGAGCGTTGTCTCTCTGCCTTTCTATCACCCAGGAAGCTCTTGATTTATTTATTGAGAGCTCGTCCAACATCTTGTGATTTCCCAACTCTGCCCCACACGCTTTCGGCAAAAGTCAGCTAATGGCGTCCACAGAACTGCAGGCAGCAGGCGGCCACCTGGCAGCCACCAGTCTGGGTGAAATCCGTGCTTCAGCTCCAGGACCTGCTGCTGGACATTCCCTCCCTTTCACAGGACACAGAATGGCCACAGCCCACAGGAAGGATTTTGGAGACTTTGATTTTCAACCCCCCCCCCCATAATTCTGTTAAGCCTTTCTGGGATCATTTTATCAGTGGGGCTGGTTTCATAAACACACAAAAATTAAAAATGTTCACCCGTGAAAAACAAATAATACCCACTGGTAATTCTTCTGTCTGGCAGATGGTTTGTGTTGGGGAAAGGGCCCACGTGTGGGGCCAGGAGCTCTTTCCCCTCTGGCTGTCAGCCTCAGGTCAGTGTTTCTGTGGAGAGAAGGCAGAGGAGACTCTGCAGGCAGGCGACGGGCACCCTGGCCTGCAGAAGGGGCTGAGCACGGGCTCAGCACGGCCACCCCCACCCGGTCTCCTGGCACAGAAGAGGGTCCCTCAATGGCTGCATTAAGAAATTTCCCTTTCTCTCCTGAATGAACCGCTGGGAGGCCAGCTTTCCCTTGTCTGGCATTCATCAAGCAACTTCCTGCACTTTAGCAGCTAGTGGGTTGGTTCTTTTTTTTTCACAAGTATATTTGCTAATATGTTTCAACTGAAATTTCACAAGAATTTTGAAACATGCTAATTCTGTGCAACAGAATGATTTGCATGCGAGAATGGCGCTGTGTCACGGCTCTGGCTTCAGTGACAGGCTGCAGGCAGAGTTGCACAGGCTCCTAGGAAACTGTCACAGCTTTCCACATTTGTATTTCATAGCAACAATATATTTCAAATAGCTGCTTCAATATTTACTTGCGGAGGGGGGATTTTCTTGGTTTCTAGTTCAGGACATAAAGGTAAAAGCAGGGTGCAATGATTTTTTTTTATAGTCATTCTGAACTGCATTTGAAGTAAATGGATACTGTAGAAAATGCAGCAGGGACCCGAGAGCTCACCCCACATTCACCATAGTTTCATCTCCAATATATGCTAAAGAATCACAAGCATCTAAAGAATTCAGAAGTGACTGCAGTTCCTAACAAAATCCGCGTGAATTGGAATTCCCTTACCTCTGGGTTCTGTTGTGTTTGCATTTCAAAGTGTATTCCTTGATTTAAAACAACATCAGGGAGCCACTTCCACCCAAGGCTCTCCGATATCGAGAGGAAAATGTCCCACGCGTGACAGCGACACCTCTTAGCCCCCCAGAGCAGAAGGCCCCCGGGTTCGCTCCTCCCAGGGACCCGGGACCCCGTTTTGCGTGGCTGGCGGCCTGGCTCTGGGGCCAGCTAAGCCCTTCTTCTCCCATCAGAGCAGAGCCAAATCGCTGCTTCTTGTCTGCCGCGAGTGAGCACATGGCAGAGACCAGCCTGGACCATGACACAGCTGTATTTTCTGAAGGGCGGGGTGGCCGGTGTCCTTGGCCTGCGTCACGTGCCGGGGAAAGGCAGCGTGGCTTGTGGACCCTGGTTTGTTCCAGCCGCTGACCCCAGCGGGCTGTGGGGAGGGGGAGAGGGGCTGTAGCCTCCCCTGCCCCGGAAACGGGCTGTTCCTGGCTGGCTGGCGGGTGCCGGTGTTGTGGGCTGTGCAGCTCTGGAACCCGACCTCCAGGGGCCGCACGGTGGCACCAGCTGGGGTGATGCTGCCACCCACCGGCGGAGCCTCGTCCTGAGTCAGCAGCGCCCCGCCTTTGGGGCAAGGGTGGTCGCCAGAGAAGCCGCCCGAGTTTGCTCCGCCCATACCTCAGCGGAGCCCGGAATCCACCCGAAGCTGAGGCAGGGCAGCGGGAGGGGCGGGAGGGCCCGGGAGAGAAGACCCAGGGTTTATTTCTTTTTTTTTTTTTTTTCCAGGGTTTATTTCTAACTGCGGCACTGAGCTCATTTTCCATGACAGATTCCAGCCACGCGCTGCAATTGTCGTACGTTGTCCCCATAGAAAGGTCTCTCCTGTCCCTTGACAGTTCTAAAAGCTCTCCAGCCAACAACAACAACAACAACAACAACAACAACAAATTTAATGTAATGTTCCAATGTTATAACGTTGGAACATGATATGATTGAAATCCAATCATGAACAACTTTGTAACTATCTCACTGTGATTCCATGTTTAAAATAAATCAAAATTTAAAAATAAATATAAGCTGCTCTCAAAAAATAAAGGAATAAATAGATTTTCTTTTTTTTTTTTTAAAGCATCTCAACTCGCAAGTGCGTTGGAATGTTTGCTGATCAGACAACTTTCACGGAGGCGCGTGTGTTTTGCCAGCAGACTTTTCCTCCACTTTCTCTGTTATGTTGCCCGAGCAGTCTCATTTTTTTTTTAAATAAGCTAAAAACCATCTTGAGGGATGTTGTAAAGTGAAATTTGAAATGTATGGGTGGGTAAGGAAGAAAATAGACTTTGAAAACTGTATGTGGCCAGATCATTTTTAAAATTCTAAAGAGTGGAGGTTAATACATTCCCACCTGTGACTGTTCTTATTTTATTGGGGAGGGGGCTTATTGGG